TTTTAATGATTATCTTTTTTCCTCTCTCTCTCTCTCTCTCTCTCTCTCTCTCTCTATATATATATATATATATATATATATATATATATATATATATATATGTAGTCGGAACTTATTACAATGTGAAATTTAAATTTAGGATTTATTATCTTGTTTATGTCTTCTCGAGTGAATAAACGAAATCGTAAATCATAAAAATTCATAGTAAAAAAAATTGGAAAACTTCATTTTATAATTGTTACAATATTTCGTCTGTAATTATACATACATATATACAGTATTTAACAGGTTCCAGTCAGGTTTATGGTCTAACATCTAATTTACTTTCATACACACAGTTTCCTTTGTTATCTTGACGAGAGAAAAAAAGAGTGATTGGTGTAGAATAACATATAATACATATATACAAATATATTATACATGGTAAGTTGATGATTTCTTTTTGACGCAACATCACTATTTACCAAAATACCACTTCTGGATCATTTGCCAGCATTCTCACATCATACCTCACTGACATCAGAACTGAAACGACTGCTAATCATGTGCGAAAAAAATGTTTCTTTTCAGTTTAATGACATCATATACTGTCAACAAAGTTCATAAGAATATCCATTTTACTATGGAACATGAAAAGGAAAACAAATTCCATTTTCTTAATATCACAATAAAATAGTAAAAGAATGGCACTATCCAACGTTCAGTTTATATGAAAGATAAATGGAATTGAATTTATTTGAATTCCAATAGCTTTTATTCATTTAGTTACAAATAGGCATTGATTAAAATACTATTTCAAAGAACAAAAAGAATATGGACTGCCGACACATTAGGCTAGGAACTAATGAATGTTAAAAATTATTCAGGGAACAATGAATACCCACAGAAATTTATTGATACATATGGAAAACATGACGGTAAAAAGGCCAAAGAAACCTAAAGAAAAAATCTACTTTTAATATATTAGAATTTAAACGTAATGACGTTAGGGAAAAAATCAACTCAAGACTAAAAACTGCATTGAAAAGAACATATCCTGTAACTAAACTGATTGTTTCGTCCAAAATAACATGTTCTTTAGCATAATTAAAGGTTGATAGGTGTCTCTTTCATATTACTATCAACTGTGTATACAAGCGCAGTTAAACTGTTGGAACAGAAGGAACATCCTATGTCTGATTCCAAGAACATACTGCAAGAAGTTTGAGGTGAATTGAACTGAGGGATCTTCAGCAGTGTGACCCCGAGAAATCTTCATACGTCAAGTAGACTGTTGGGGACGCTAGATGCCCAGAACTCACTTGAAATAGTCCTAATTTCGAATTTTGTGTTTCCGCGCATGGGCTGCTCAGTCGACCTTGCGATTACACTTCCCACTCGGAAAATCCTTGACTGTCATTGGTTGATGTATCATTTTAGTATGCTGTTTTCATGGCTCTCCAAAGAACGTTTCTTTCTTGTATCAATAAACTCGATTTGTCTGTTTGTCAACCTCGTATTTTCTGAGTGTTTTAGAATACACTTTCTACGCCTAAGCAAGACTTCTGGATATGGTTAGCAAGGCCGAGGACAATTGAATCAGAATAACCTATCGTTTCACCATCATTGGATCGCTCTCGTTTACCGAGCAAGGTGAACTTGTCATAGTTTCAAGCATATCAATCAGCAACCATATCATAGATATACTGAGGTCTTGTAAGATGGTTAGTGAACGATCAAACCCACATCTTTTAACGTTTGCAGAAGTTGTCGCTGCTAAACCTATGAAACTAAAATTATGTATTTAAAAATAAACAATAACAAATCTTTCCTTGCCCTAGTAATATTACATTATACTTTAATTCCACGATTTCTGTTTTGATTCTATCATTTTGATTTGACTCTAACTGACTGCTTTCAACTCATATCACCCTTTACCACCATTACTCTGATCTGGGTTATTTCATCACACAACCATCTAAAGTTCGTTAACTCTGTGATTTCTGGATCTTTTCTTCCAACTCTTAATATATCTCTGATATATTTTCATCACCTTATTAACTATGCAACATCATGATGCTCATATCTATCTCGAATCACCATATTTATAAGTATTTCAATTCCTATAATAATTTCGATTTTAAAAAAGTGATAGGTTGTAGGCAGATGATGAAGAGGACCTAGCGAAATAAAATGAATTCATAATATTCTGCACAAATCTTTGTTTTTTGCTCTGTCCAATAATCATTAAATTACCATAACGATTTTGTAGATAACCATCCTTATCATAGAATTTTAAATGATATTAGCAATAATACTGAGATATATTGCATCTTCAGTTCTGAATCAGTGATAGTACAGAAGAAAGTAGGTACCATTGATCTAATTTAGAGAGTTTGAAAAGATAGTTCAATTCCATCCGTTATTAAGAGAAGACAAATAAAAATTCCAAATTATAATGTTCCTATATTTAACTAAAAAATATAGTCATTTGGTCTAATGAACGCCTGGCTGTTGGAATTCAGTGAGGTTAAAAGACCAAATTACATGACACTTTATTTGCTTATTTACTTACTTACTTACTTATGCCTGTTAACGCCAGCCTACCCTACATGACATTAGTTACTACTTAACAATCGATTAGTGTTGAAAGTTCCGATGAGTATGAAGATCATGAATTTTTCAAAGTTTCATGAATGATATCAAACACACAAAATTCCACATCTAACTATCTACTTCTGAAGTATATTTAAAAAAAATATCTTCATCATTTGATGTTTGCATTCTAATAATTGATAAGAATTTAATAGATTAAGTTAACATTGAACGAAAAAGTGAATGCACACGAAATTTTACTCAATTTATGAAATCATTATTATAGAATTATCGTTCGAAAAAAAAAACATTTATTAAAATTATGAATGGAGAAAATTCTCACTGTATACTGATGGATACTGGTATAAGTGTTCTTGTATTAAGTAGATTTTATCAATAAACCTACTGGGTCTTCTATCTAGCAGAATAATAATAATATTACAACTAATAATAATGAATTCATTTAATATTGTATGTTTAGTACAATATGGAATTCTCATTGCGGAATATTTCAACAAGTTACCTTGACAATACAATAATTGATCTGCTGTCAAAAGTAAGCAGTTCTAAAATTAACATTTTACTAACTTTCATTCTTTTATCAGCAGACTGTCAGCCACCGTGATGTCTTGGATTGTAATTTTCCTACTTTGTGAAGCGATGACTCGTAAACTTTGTATGTATGCGCCTGAATAGACTAAACTATAAGTGGATATATTTGACTTGTTAGAACAAATAGAACTGGGTAATCTGTTGAAATATTTTGATGTTAGTTAAACAGGTAACCCAAATACTGAAGCAGGCTGCTTGATCTACAGTGCCAAAATGGCGCATATGATAGATGTTAAATACAAGAAAGCAACTAAAGTCACTGTAGGAAAATACGTTCATTGATTTGAAAACGGTGTTGAATACGGCTGAATGTACATTATTGAAGCTTATTGATCATTACATAACAGTTTTTGTGATGGCGTTTCGTTCTCTAGACTGGGTGTTTTGGATGTGGTGTAGTGAAAGAGAACACAGGTGGGGCAACCGAAAATTACAGAGTTACTCAGTAAAATTGGAAAACCATATCGTAAATCGTTCATTTGCAAAATAACAGTTCATCATATCGAACTGGACTGTTCCTGTTGCAAAACATCAATCCATTGTCACTATTCATGCGTTTCATACAAATTCCATTGTTTTCTAACTCTTCCTTTCTTGATCTTCCCCCCATCTTCTGCTGCCAGACATTACGTTGACGCTCACGTCATATACTACTTATAAGTAGCTCGCACCACAGCACCACAGTGGAGCTTTCACTGTTCTTCTGAACAACATCATCAGCACAAATATTTGTATTCAATAAAATTACAAATACTGAGAAATCAGTTCTTGAATATATAAAACTAATAAAACTCTCAGCCGACAGTTAGTAAGGAAAAGAACAAAGTTGCTGTAATTATATCGTCTTATGTTTGAGATTCTTCCCCTTGTTCAAAATTGCGTAACCAAAAAGCTTACTTACTTACTTACTTACTTTTGAGTACCCAATGTTGTTCTGACTTAAACTTTATGAAGTTTGGTAATTTCTTCTATACTCCATGGTTTTCAACGGTTCACTACTAAGGAGATTAAAGAGATAACCAGACTACACTGAGCTATTTAGTATGCATTACATATCAGAGTAGTATAACTTCTACTTGACATTTCAATAAAAATAATTAAAAATGTAAATTCTGCATTATTAATTCAGAGTTCAAATAACAAGATATTAACATGTAATGCTTAGTCATTCATTTCCTAGTTTCAAGGTTAAAAAAATCAATTCATACAGGTTGTGTAACATTTCATCAGTAATACTGTAACTAGTACATTGGAAATAAACTATTAATTTTAATGATACAGTTTGGTTGCAAACACAATAAAGGTAAATTCTTTCGGTACAAAAGAACGGGATGTTTTGGATAATAACAAGTGTATAATTATTTATTATGTATTAAATCTAACCTAAAGTTAACTATAAAGCTTCTATATGCTTTTTTTTCAGCTAAAAGTTTTACTATTTTGAAAAAAAAATTAATTTTCCTCTATTTATACACATATTTTGCACCTATCCATACCTGTCAGTCAAACGCTCACTGTATAACTTCCTTAACAACATAGTGTCTAGATAGGATAGTGGACAGACTTGTTTTGTATATGGTGAGTAAGACAACTAAAAACTGTACAGACATTTCATTTGATAATACAACATAACAGGAAGACCATGGGAACTAAACAACTTATCGTCATTTTGATTATCATGGTCAAATTTTACACACCAATAATTTGTGCTAAAACACACGAGACAGGTGGCTCTCAGTCACTTCGGGTTTTTATTTTTTTTTTCAAAAAACAATCATGTTTACAGTTATAATTAGTGTACATCATGTAAACCACTGTTATAGGCCAATAAACTTTTATATCATTTTTATCTAAATTAAATGTAATAAAACACATCAGAATTTAACTCTCATTCTCTACACACGTTGATGATATTATTATCAAACATTTAAAACGTGAAATTATTTTATTTATACACCTGGAACGCATAAATTTTTATTCTTAGTACTAAGAAATAAGTATGTTAGTCATTTTTGAAAAAAGAAAGACAGTTTCATACGGATTATACTATTTTCAACGTGAAAAGTAAATATACTACATGTAAGTAATTTGATTACTAATTAGTCATTTATATTTTCATTGTTTTATATTTTTATAATTATAATCAAATATTTTAATAAATGTTTTTATAATGCAAATAGATAATCTTTTCATAGAATGAATGTATTGGACTAGTAAAAAGGTATTAATAGTTAAGTTGGTATTTTGCACATTTATGACTTGAATAACTGTGATCATGAATGAATGATAATCATACTAAATTATAAATTGTTTAAAATTTTAAAAATGTTAAGTAATAGGATTCAGTCCGATGTACCAAAATTCTGTAGCATACAAAGTTCAGCGCAAGAATGCTTATTACTGTATTTATTTAGTTTTAATAAAATCATGAATCGATCATTGTTGGACCACCACTAGAAACTTGAATGCACGAGACGTTCGTTTCGTCTTGGTATGGGGCTTATCAGCAGTGCACATCCGCGAGTTCACAAGCGGGCGTCGAATCGAGGACCTTCAGTCTCGCACACGAATGCTTTAACTCTAGACCACTGAGTCCACATCCAACGGCGTTGATTTCAAGTCTTTCAAACAGAACGCAATAGAGTAAATAACTGATCTGTGCTACTATTTTAAAACCGATGGTTAGAGATACTTTAGCATGCAATGAAGAACAGACAATCACAAGTGACTTTTATACCTCGCCCTACAGTTTCGTGGTCTGATTGATTTGTCTTATGAAATTGTAAAAATGAAGATTAAGGTGTTTTATATGATAAATACCACATAAATTCATCTCTTGTTTGACAGTTGTTGAGTGTTGCACACTAATAGTTAAAGATCAGTTGTTTGCTAATTATTAAAGTAAAAGTGGAAATTTTTTCAAAATGTACTTTAAAAGTGTAAAGTAAATCTATGAAACAAAACATGTCATCAATAGGAATAACAATAATAATAACAGATAGGTTGTTTATATAAATATGGAAATTAAATGACTTCTTTTGTATAACGTCAAAATGATAATGCTACGTTTCTGCATACTGATACAGAAAACAGTAAATAGGAAAACAAATTTGATGTCTATTCTCTGACTGCAACTGCTTTTAAAGCATCATACACACTGAATTGTTGATAATATCAGCTGACGTTCTACACAAAAAAGGACATATATATTAAAGAAACGTGTAGAAACACAAAATTTTAGATTAGACAACAGATGTTCAATATAATCGGAGTGTGGTTTGGAATAGAATCTGGGCTTCACGTTGTGTCCTTTCTGGTATTCGTCATCCTGACTTACCTTGATCCTAGTATGTTCGCAATCAAAGTCAAAAAATAGATATACTTAAAAGCTTGCCAGCCAAGAGTATCTCTTAGCATGTACGCCATTATAAACTGATCATTTGTAGTCCTTTATCTGGACAACAGTAAAATTCAAACTATTATTTATTAGCCAACATTTATTTACATTTGTCTATTTATGACTTAAATTTCTAAATGCTCATTATATTACTAACTATCTGAAGCTGGTATAATCAACTTGTCTTAACGTGTTATGTTCCATTTCAAAACATGTCTGCTTATTTTCAAGAGTCAGCTATTATAACAATGTATTGTGTTTTGTAAAATTAGCACAAAATTTCGATACATAAAGTCGCAAAACATTTCGAGGGACATTAACTGTGAAATACTATTTGAGATAAATATTCATGACTTTAAATTACCAATGTTTGTGTTTAAAATTAGAATTAAATAGAATGTAGTGAATAGTGTATGTATATGAATCATTTGAAAAAAGTCACTGTTTAATGTTTAGTATTTACAGTTTAAATTATATTTAGTGTGTCAGATTCCGTTAAGACTACTTTACTCAAATCACGACCTGAAAAAGACAAACTGAAGTTATCCTTAATCGTTTCCAGTGTTCTCTGTAGAGTATTCACTATTTTCAATCATCTTTCCGTTAGTTTATGATTTAAGTAGATTTCATTTTATGCTGTTTATTTCACTGCATTTGTACTTTTCATTGACATAATTGTAGTACTTACTATACAATCATGTATTAGTAACGAATACTATGAAATTATCATGGGTACATTCAATGAAATATATAATGAAAACTACACTTCAACATGTAAGACTCACTAAATAAAAATGGAAAGATGAAAGTAAGTGCTAATAAATACATCATTCCCATTCAGAACTTAACACTCTGTGGATAATCTTAGCCTAGTTAAGTGTGAATTAACTATTTTGTATATGACTTTAAGTTCCACTGAGCAGTCACTCTTTTATTAATCAGATCTCAATAATTTAATGAATGAAAGTACCGTAATCAACCAGCGAAGTGACTATCTATCACCTTTTAAATGAATGATTAAATTTGTAATTAGTCAGCAAGCAATCATTAAACTATCCCTGGGAATATTATATTCATAATTTTTACAAATATCTACCTAATTGCAGACTGATTTGTTAACTTTCACTATCATTATCAACTAAGACAACAGAACTTATTAGCAATTGCTTTCCGATAGTTGTATTTTCAGTATGATTTACATGACTAATCAATGTTTCTAATTGAAAATTAGTCATATTCAGATAAATTACATTGTCTCAATTTATCTAGTTGTCGGCGTCGACCAAAATAATAATACGAAACAATCATTTCACAGTTAAACGATTCATACTAATTGAAAGAAATAAAATCATTGTAACAAAAAAAAACAAATCATTTTTATTTCGTGATTAACGAAAATCAATACCATTCCATTGATTATGAATAAAGATTTACATTTTACCTTGTAATTCGAGAAAATAAACTAATAATAATTTACTAATGTCCAGTTTTGGAAGTTTCTTATAACCATTGATATTTGAATAATTTTTGCAATTTACTCAGCCAAGCTTAAGTAAACCATGGAACTTGCAATGATTTTTTTTGCATAAACCACATGATTTGGTATCTCATAGGAACACTCTGCAATTCACAGCAGATATGCGTCAAATTTTTTTTAAATTAGGAAAGAAGTGTAATTTAGTTGAAAACTGTACGACTTCACAATTTTGTTATTAGATAGGCTCTTCCTAAGAAACTCATGCATCGACAGAAACAGTCATTCAGTGCTTCATTGTTTTTCAGTGATTGTCTAATTAATAAATTGGTCTGAATGTAAACAATGAAATCTAACAGTCTCCATGAAACTCTTAAAGTACTGAATGATTTGTCAATTAACTTATAGTATAGTTACTTCACAGTTTATGATATTCACTTAATATTTCAATTCAAATCTTTTATTTTTCAACATCATTGTACAGTTGATAAGAACGTTAATTCAAAACTTATTTATCGCATAGATTTCAGAGACAATTTTTGTCACAATGTGAGGTTGAATCTACCTCTTTCACACAACCATTAAAACTAGGAAAGGAGTTATCAGTTTCTTTATTAACTCAAAGAAGTTTCTTCTTAAAAATTTATTTATGTTAAGAAACCAAAATCATGAAACAGATGTATTTGACTTAAAGTGTATCCTTGTTTTGTTTAACTGTATTTTTTTCCAGTCTTTGTTCAATGTTCCAATTTTCCTTTTTATCTTCTATAACTACATTCAATAATGTAAGAATTCAAAAACAAAAAAATTAAACTTAAATAAAAATTACAAATGAGTGAAAATTGTTTTTCTTCATATCTAGGTATCAATAACTTACTTGAGTGCATGTAGCTATGTATGCCCATTTGTCTCTTTGTGAAAAGAGAATGGTTTATTGGTTATAAGATGTATTGTGTACATAGAGAGAGAACTATGTAGTTCATCGGACTGGGTTTCGCTTTGTTTTACGTATGAGTCATTTAATAAACATGGATATTAGCCAAAAAAGTGGCTATACTTGTGTACTGATTTTTTAAAGAAAAAAAATACTACTTGCCACAAGTGACTAGAAAGAAAGTACACAAAATCTCTTCTTTTTATTTTTATCTTAAATAAAAAAGTCCTGCTAAATTCTTTTTTTCCAAACTAAAACTACTGAAATGTAACATAGAAAAATACTTAAACGTTGAATCATTGGACATTGGAAGTTAGTTAGTAGTAGTAAATGTATCTTAGAAGTAGAAAAGAAAAATAATCTATTTCTTTTTCCGGCTAAGAATGAGTAACATTGAAAAGTGGTTCATTTTTAAATTCACGGGTACATTTGAATAGGTTTTCTTTCAAAATTGTCTCAAGAAATATGCATTCTAATATACCAGTAAATAGAAGAGTAGATTTTGTTACAACTGAAAATATACTTTACTTATTATGATGACATATTCATTGATTTTTTTCTGAATCTATCAGATTAAGATAATTACTAATTGGAATAATAATACCCGGAGGAAAAATGGTTAACAGAGAAAATTAATTACTTAGTACACTTTGGTCTCTTGATATTAGAAGCATAAGCCAATTTATGGTTAAATCTAATGGGTAAAATAATAAAAAGAGTTTTATCTCAGAAGAAAAATAAGTCTGTTGGATAGTTCACGGTAATTCGCCTCGTACATGTGAAGTTGGTATTAGTGCAGCAGTTCATAGGCATCAAATGTATACAGATGAGTAATTTTAGCTTACTATCAGACAGATAATAACTTTTGAAAACAAAGCTCATTACCTTCAAACTCGAATGTGAAATGTCAGTTTTTTGTTTTATTTCGTTACGATGTATGACTATTTTTTTTAACCATAATTGGTAAATAACTACAGCTGAGAAACGCAAGTTTGGAAGATGGGATCCTAAGAACTACAAATTCTGTGAATGTTCTTAATGATCTATCAAAACAAAAATAAATAGGAGAACCTTGTGCAAAACAATATGAATTAGGCCACGATGGATAATAAGTTAGCATTACCAATGTAGTATAATTCACATAAAATTAGTCTTCCTCTTGCGTTTCATAGTTTGTCTTGTCGACCTCTTGTTTTTTATTTATCAAATGTCTTAACAAGTGAATATGTGATCAATTTCTTCGAAATGCATTAAGCCTATTTACCAGATGGTTC